CTGAAACTTGAACATAAAGTGAGCTTGATTCAGACCACATGGAACCACTAAACAATGAACTAGATCTCAAAATGATAAAAGCAGTTATAATTTACAAAATAATGAATTCCTATATAAATGGAAATGAATGAGTTTGGGAATTGCATTTGAATAAAGGACTTCAAACATGAGTTGCTTGAAAATCATAACACATACTTCCTCAACATTATAACTCATTCATAATGATTATGTAAATTAAAGTGCAAGCACTAACAGGCATAACTCACCCACAAGCATGTGCAAGGAATGCATGGAGAGCATTCAAATGGCAAATGAGCAAGAAGAGTTTGCAAATGAAGGCCAATAATTTATTATGAACTTGGGCATCCTCAAGTGTATGAATGAAGTATGTAGTAAATGTGACGACCTCTTCAGTATATCAAGTTGAAAGTGAGAAGTGGTCCTCTTACAATCAATGCAAGTCAATATATAAGAAATCATAATCAATGATGGAGAATGTTGTATGAGACATAATTGGCTAGCATTCAACATCAGGGAAAATATACAAAAACGTAGAATACACATTTCACCTATGAATGGTGACAATTAATATACAACACTCGCAATACTCATGCTTCAGAAGGAATTAGACAGTTACAACAAGTACACTAATACACTCATGTAGAGTACGAAAGATATACAACAAATGCAACAAAGAGATACAAGCATGTGAGCTCCTACGAGCTACTATAGAAGACCCCTATGCATCTAATGTGTTGTCCACAAGCCAACCCAAAGGAGTTCTAATGATAAACTAGTCACTAGGGATGGTTTGGAAAGTGCAGTAATATGTCTGTAAGCAAAAACATGAAGATAAAAATGTTGCGACAACTCTCCCATAGCCAATATTAGTTTACAAGCAAATACACCAATCTACTACAAGTGGAGACGAAAAAACTGCAACACATACGAGTTCTTTATAAATACATATACATACAATATATGCCACCTGTTGGTAGATGCAGAAAGACTTCAGTGAATGCAGTATCCTGTAGTCAATTTCAGCCCGTGAATAAACACATCTACATGCCTACAGGCATCAATAGTGGGTAAACTGAAAAGATCGAAGACCACAGCAAATGCATAAGGAATGCAGCTAATGCAAGCACACCTACAAGCTATCGTATTTGTTGTATAAGGCCTGTCGTGTACATCAAATGTCTTTCAAGAGCAAAGTGCCAAAGGACCATAACAAATGCCGATGCTTACAACTTATTGTAGGAAACTCGTCGTAGATACAATAGGCTGTATATGAGCAAGTATAAAGGAACAACAGTAAATACCAGCATTGTAGGTAAAAGCAGGAGATTTGTTAGTGCACTACAATGCACCTGCAAGAAAGAGTAAGTAGAGCACGACAATCTACCTGTACAAAACAACAATTGACTCAATCCATAAGCTGCTACAACGCCATGCCACCAAATCCACAACATCCTTACAAGTGGACAGAAGGTGTACGAGTATCGAAATAGAACGTTGTATTCAAATGGCGATCACCCGCAAAACTGATCAGCATCAAGATATTCCAAGAATGCCCCGGCACATGCAATATAATATTTATACACAGGTATACAAAAGGGGCAAGGGCAATAAGAAAACTCGAATGGGCCCCGACGAGCGTGTTATTGGTACACGTGACGTTTAGGGATTCTACGCGGGTTAATAAATGAACTTTAGTTCGAGCTCAATCCTTCTATGTGGATAGATAAGAGTCAATACAGCTCAAACCATTAAATAAATATACGGTTAATGTGTCAATCAGAATATCTATTTTATAGTTCATATAAGGCCTTCAAAGCCTATGAATAGAGAAATTCATTAACAAAAACACAAAGCCAGCAATGAACCCGATCCTTTGTCGACAAATTGGTAGAGTGTATAAGGTTTAATCCACAAATGGAAATGACGCCCCCCCCCCCCAAAACCCCCCA